GATGCTTTATCACGAATAAACCCAAAAATTGATATGAACGCCTTAGAAACCGATAATATTGATGATATGGAGTTGAAAGTACTTCTTAAAAGGTATGTTTTGTGGTCGCATATTTGACTCAATGTTAAGTGGTTGAAACTCAAAAGTTAATTGTAAAATTAGTATTAAACTGTACATAAAAAAATAATTTATCAAAATATATTGCTGTGAACAGAGTGACTTTAAACTTTGTCATAAAGTGCATTTAGTTCGAACTATTCATAATTAATAAAAGATAAAATAAAAAAACTTTAATGACTTTTTGATAATAAATATAGAAACTATATCTTTCATTTAAATAATCAGTAACGGAACATACTAGTTTTTAAAATATTTGTGGCACTCGGGGAGTCGGGGACTGCCGCGGTAAAGATATTGCATAGCATTTTTTATCAACTTATGCACTCCCTCCACTCCGCCGCTTCCACCACTCCCCGTTGTTGGCTCGACGAGTTAGTTGATGATTCTCGACGTGTGACGTCATCGTCAAAAATTGTCAGAATGAACCTTAGCGATTTCCCATGTTAATTTACATAAGGAATGAGGCTGAATCAGTGCTGCCCCTTTACTAATTTCTGTTTCGATTTTTCGAATTTTCCATTTTTTCGATGTTTCGATTTTTCGATTTTTCGATTTTTCGATTTTTCGATTTTTCGATTTTTCGATTTTTCGATTTTTCGATTTTTCGATTTTTCGATTTTTCGATTTTTCGATTTTTCGATTTTTCGATTTTTCGATTTTTCGATTTTTCGATTTTTCGATTTTTCGATTTTTCGATTTTTCGATTTTTCGATTTTTCGATTTTTCGATTTTTCGATTTTTCGATTTTTCGATTTTTCGATTTTTCGATTTTTCGATTTTTCGATTTTTCGATTTTTCGATTTTTCGATTTTTCGATTTTTTGAATATTCGATTTTTCGATTTTTCGATTTTTCGATTTTTCGATTTTTCGATTTTTTGATTTTTCGATTTTTCGATTTTTCGATTTTTCGATTTTTCGATTTTTCGATTTTTCGATTTTTCGATTTTTCGATTTTTTGAATATTCGATTTTTCGATTTTTCGATTTTTCGATTTTTCGATTTTTCGATTTTTTGATTTTTCGATTTTTCGATTTTTCGATTTTTCGATTTTTCGATTTTTCGATTTTTCGATTTTTCGATTTTTCGATTTTTCGATTTTTCGATTTTTCGATTTTTCGATTTTTCGATTTTTCGATTTTTCGATTTTTCGATTTTTCGATTTTTCGATTTTTCGATTTTTCGATTTTTCGATTTTTCGATTTTTCGATTTTTCGATTTTTCGATTTTTCGATTTTTCGATTTTTCGATTTTTCGATTTTTCGATTTTTCGATTTTTCGATTTTTCGATTTTTCGATTTTTCGATTTTTCGATTTTTCGATTTTTCGATTTTTCGATTTTTCGATTTTTCGATTTTTCGAATTTTCGATTTTTCGATTTTTCGATTTTTCGATTTTTCGATTTTTTGATTTTTCGATTTTTCGATTTTTCGATTTTTCGATTTTTCGATTTTTCGATTTTTCGATTTTTCGATTTTTCGATTTTTCAATTTTTCGATTTTTCGATTTTTCGATTTTTCGATTTTTCGATTTTTCGATTTTTCGATTTTTCGATTTTTCGATTTTTCGATTTCTCTCTTTCAATATTCTTAAAATTTGTATCACTAAAGTAATAAAATACAAAAAATCCCTTATAAACTACAAAAATAAGCTAGAAATTAATGAAAGTCAAAAATCAAATGACAGTTCTGACAATTTCTAACGATTTGACATGCCAAGCACGACGAAACAGACCAATGGGAATGCTGGACAATATATTTCCCCCCTGTACCAAAACAAAGTCCATTTGGACGATGGCTCTAGTAATATATGCTCGAAGGTGAAACGGCAGTAATAAATGCTGATTTACTGCAATTACTTCGAGAAGAATTAAATAAATAAGGTTTTTTTTTGTGAAAAAAACACTCCATAAGGAGCGTTTATTATTATTACAATCTGAGCAAGAGTAAGAGTAATTTTTGTTATAACCTAACTTTACTAGGGTTTCAATCAAGGTGACAAAATAAAGGAGACCATCAAAGATGAAATCATGGTAGAAAATGAAAAGTTTATTAGAAAAATTAATAATGCTTTAATAAAAATTCAAAAAAATCAGAAGAACATTGAGAAAAAGTACATCCAGCCCGACAGACTCAATAGAAAAAATAATATTTTAATTTACGCAGCAGACATCTTAGGAAACACCGATGTTATCGAAATTATTTTAAATATATTTAATAAAATATTAGAAATAGAAATTACTATTTATGAGATTAACAATATATAAATTAAAAATAGGCAATAACATAGCTATAAAAGTTAAATTCATATCGTATTTAAAAAAACAACAAGGGGGTGGGTGGCTCAGTGGTAGAATCTCTGCCTGCGGATCAAAGGGGCCCAGGTTCGAATCCCACACCGTTGACCGGGATTAATTTAATTTAATTTAATTATTTAAAATAAATTCTGATGCCTTGGTAGGATTCCCCACTCGACTATTCACTGTTGGGTTCTAATTAACAGTGCTGCTCCTAAAGTGGCGCTGAGAAAGAGTAATAAAGCCTACACAGAACACGAGGCTAATAACCTTAGTAGTTAATGCCGATGACACACAAAAAAACAACATACATTAAAAAATTGCAACAAACTAATAGGAAAAAATATAAATAAATAAAAAAAAATACACAGCAGAACAAATAAGAGATGATGTTAACAAAGACATAAATAAACAGCATTTAATTTCAAGAGAAAAAATCACATAGTGCACCCCAAACACCAGTTCCCAGTAAAGTAGAAGAAGTATATTTTAAGGACAGTTTAAAACTTGCCATTAACACTCCTCAGAGGCCTGAAAATTTAATTTTAGAAAAATCCCAGAACAGTGATGGAGAAGAGCAAGTATATAATATAGAGAATAAAGAACATTATGACAATATAGGAAATAAAGAAACTTTAGAAAGCACAAAAAATAAAACTGTAAACAACAAAAATAACAGAAAAGAGAAATCTACAGACGAAAAAAAGAAAGAAGATATCATAGAACAGAGAATTAGGAAAAATTCTACCATAATTTAATAGAAGGTACAAATAATAAAATCACTATTTTAACTGAGTAAATTAAAGTGAGTGAAGATTCTTGTTTAACATGGAACTTGTCTGCAGTGTTTTTAATTATTAAGTAAAACCATTTTTTTCTTCTTTTATGTACGTTCTCCTTATAATTTAAGTACTACTTTGGATCGAATATTTAGGATTATATGCCCATGCGCAACCCTAACAGGTCTTCAATGCGCCTTTGATGTTTATTATTTTTAGATATATATTCGAATCATATAGTGAACCTTATATAATGTCGCGCAGAGACGGCTCTGTCTTTTATAATTTTATTTTTAAAATGAGCTTATTTCGAGCTATGGAACAAAATTAATATTTGATGAATACTGTTTTATGAAATAGTTTATGAAATAACTTTAGTAGAACTTACTTGCCATAATAAAAAAAATACACACTATGTTGGTTGTAATGATTAAAACACTTTAAATCTCTTCATTTATCATTATAGTCATAAATAAATTAAACCCTGGGCGCCACCACAGCTCGTCTCCGTCTCTGGACAATAATTCGTCTGCTCCGACTAGCTATATTAAAATAAATTATTTAAAATTCGTTGCCATCAACTCTGCTGGAGCCATACCTGTTCTTTTCAGAGTATGAGATTACCCAACTCAACTTATTGGAAAGCAGGTAAGTGTCCTCCTTCAAATATTAGAGAAATGTAATAAAAAAAAGTTCAAGGTTATATAGCTGTTCGCGCTTCAAAGGTAGAGGATAATTGAGAGAAAAATATTACAAATTCCTTTAAATCGCTAACGATCTAGGTTAAATAAAATAAATAGGAATGATATTAAGTAAATTTCACAAACGATGCTTAATTATTATAAAGTTTAAAGTGAATCCGTGTTTGAGAAATTTGCTTATGAATGATAGAAAATAGAAGTAAACATTGAAGTTTCAAATAGGGAATACAAGTGTATTTTAAAATTTACCGAACTTTCATAAGAACGTTTATACAGTGTGTCTACTTAAGTTGGAACCATATGGAAAACATTTTTATTATTGATTTTAGGAAAAAAAGTTATTCTTGATAAAAAGTCCTGCATCACCCAAAACTTAAAATACAGTCATCAGATATCAAATTTTTCAAGCCATATACGAGGTTTGTCAAAAAATATGAATTTTGCTCAAGAGTAAAGTACGTTTATTTTTGTACAAAATCGAAAATTTTCATTAAAAAATTTGCTAAATTCTTCACAAACATCAACAAAAGGAAAGCGTATCATGTTTATAGTAGCTAACGTAATTTATAACGTTTTCAGATATTTACAATCAATGTGTAGAGTTTATAAAATAAGAAAATCTGTTTTTTCAGATAGATCGGTGTAATTGCATATTTGAATGTAATATTCAATTCTAATCAACTTTTCTTAATGAAAATTTTAGATTTTGTCAAAAATAAACGTACTTTACTCTTGAGCAAAATTCATATTTTTTGACAAACCTCGTATACGGCTTAAAAAATTTGATATGTGATGACTGATTTTAGGTTTTGGGTCATGCAGGACTTTTTATCAAGAATAACTTTTTTTCCTAAAATCAATAATAAAAATGTTTTCCATATGGTTCCAACTTAAGTAGACACACTGTAGAATTTCGTTGATTCAGTTCTGGTTTATTGTGACGTTCCGTGCTCTCGTTCAAATGGGTTTTATTTTTAGTTTAGACCTCTTAGTGCGTCGTTTTCATTGTGAGTTCCAGTAGGAATAGTTACAAACAAATTACCATGATTTGTTTATGAAAAAAAAAAAAACCATTTATTTACCAATAAATAATCAATGTTTTTGGAATGGATTTTTTGAAAGGATTTTTTGGAATTTGGAGGAATTTCTTAGTTATAGCTGGTCAGTCACCATCTGACAGAACGTTGTTCGCTGCAGGTCCAGGTAGCATGTTGATCTTTTTAATTGTTTTTTTTTTAAATTAGGTAGAACCTTCTTCGGCCACTGCCTTTGATTGACTGCCTGTCGATTTAAGGAAAATCGCTTTTTATGAACGGCTATTTCACAGCCAACTTTGTTAAAAAAATTCATTATTTTGGTTGTCAAAACCCTATACCTGGATCACTTTTTTACTTTCCTATCTGTATACAGATCCTATCTGTATACAGATATAAGGAAAGTATAGGAATCATGATTTTTTTCGACCTCGAGTTTTCGACGGATTTTTACGTTTTGAGGTCCCCTGAATCCGTTTTGACTATTTTCGCGATGATGTCTGTGTGTGTGTGTATGTGTGTGTGTGTGTGTGTGTGTGTGTGTATGGGTGCGTGCGTGCGTGCGCGTGTGTGTGTGTGTGTGTGTGTGTGTGTGTGTGTGTGTGTGTGTGTGTGTGTGTGTGTGTGTGTGTGTGTGTGTGTGTGTGTGTGTGTGTGTGTGTGTGTGTGTGTGTGTGTGTGTGTGTGTGTGTGTGTGTGTGTGTGTGTGTGTGTGTGTGTGTGTGTGTGTGTGTGTGTGTGTGTGTGTGTGTGTGTGTGTGTGTGTGTGTGTGTGTGTGTGTGTGTGTGTGTGTGTGTGTGTGTGTGTGTGTGTGTGTGTGTGTGTGTGTGTGTGTGTGTGTGTGTGTGTGTGTGTGTGTGTGTGTGTGTGTGTGTGTGTGTGTGTGTGTGTGTGTGTGTGTGTGTGTGTGTGTGTGTGTGTGTGTGTGTGTGTGTGTGTGTGTGTGTGTGTGTGTGTGTGTGTGTGTGTGTGTGTGTGTGTGTGTGTGTGTGTGTGTGTGTGTGTGTGTGTGTGTGTGTGTGTGTGTGTGTGTGTGTGTGTGTGTGTGTGTGTGTGTGTGTGTGTGTGTGTGTGTGTGTGTGTGTGTGTGTGTGTGTGTGTGTGTGTGTGTGTCGCATAACTCATGAACCGATACACAGAAAAACACCAAATTTCAAACTTAAGCTGTGTTTTAGCGTCCAATGTGCTAATTAGATTTTGGGCAGTGTCGGAACATCTGGGGGGGTACTTTATAGGTGGTCATTTTTATATTTTATGGAATATATTTGTTATTTACGTTTGGGGAAGAAAATTGTTCAAATAAAAGTTACTTCTTATATTATTATCTAAAATTTTTATTGTATACAAAAATATTTTTTTATAAAAATTGTTCAAACAAAAGTTGTTTGTAATATAATTCTCTATAATTTTTATCCCATACATAATTTCTCTAAAATGGACCGTATTCGAGATATTTGAGAAAATGTGTAAATTTTGAAATTTGAAGAAAACTCAAAAACGGATAAAGAAAAATACATTAAATTTTAAAATTAGGTTTTATTTCGGCCTAACGTGAAATGATTAGATTTTGGACACAAAGTCGGAACATCTGGGGGGTACTTTATAGGGGGCCGTTTTTATATTTTATGGAATATATCTGTTATTTATGTTTGGAGAAAAAAATTAATTAAATAAAAGTTATTTCTAATATTATTATCTATAATTTTTGTTTTGTGTCAAAATTTCCTGAAATGGTCCGTATTCGAGAAATTTGACAAAATGTGCAAAATTCTGATTTTTATGAAAATTGTTGAAATAAAAGTTGTTTGCGATATCGATCTCTATAATTTTTGTTTATACATGATTTTTCTAAAATAGTCCGTAATGGAAAAATTGTAAGAAAAGTGCTAAATTTAAATTTTTCAGTATTTTCATTTTCAATGAATATCTATAGAAAAATGTTTCGAGGTAGATGTATGTGGAAAATGTATATATTTATTTTATCCTCTAAACATTTATGGAGGTGCTGCAATAGGTTGTACAAAATAACCGGAAAAGGCCTGTAATAACTAGATAGGAAAGTCATGTGTTGGACACATCAGATTTTTTATTTAATTATGCATAAATTAATTTCTTTTATTATTTACTTTTGTATTAAAAACCTTCACGGTGTTCTTTTAAATTGCACTTAAAATTATTTAAAATCTTAATCCTGTGCAAAACATTTCTCATAATTATTGACTTGAAAATATGCTGTTAAAATTGAATTATTCCTTTATTAAGTCCTTTTGAGATCTGAAACTTTTCAGGAACTTGCAATTTATCCTCATTCATGTCATGACTACATTATAATATTTTTATAAGCATTATAATTTGGGATACTGTTAGGTTCAACGTTGGAGCATACGTCACTATCATTATTTGCCCCTCAAAATTATCTAAAATATGTCCAAGTCTGAGATGTGTTTCAGTCTTGTTAAGAAAATACTATTTACTTGATTGAACTTGCAGTTCCACTTAAAAGCGATTTTAATAGCAGATATTCATACACAAAGTCAATTTTGTTGTGAGGACAATTACTTTTAGTAAATATTATATAACTTAAAAATGTTTAAAACTTTAAATTTGAATAAGTTGATTAAATTTTGATTCAGTCATGATTTAGTCTTATTTTTTCAAATTTGGCTAGTTTTTGCCTTGTTTTATTTAATTTCTACATATTTCATAGCAAAGGTATTTGACTTAAAGTTTTTAATGTTACTTTTCTTATTGACTCCATTCAAATTCTTTCTATAATTATTACTTATTAAACTACTTATAATTTCCTCCGTTACAATAATTTGTCAAAAAAACAAATATGAAACCCACTGGTAATAAAATTCAATTTAACTACTACCGTCTATGAACCATTCGATCACATACATATTGACGTTTTTCGTATATCAAATAGTCCCTACCTCACAATCATCGATTAATTTTCTCGTAGTGGACAAGCTTATCCAATTCCAAGTATTAGTGGAATATCAATAGTCGTTGGTCTACTAAATTATATAACCCATTAGGGCCTACCTTTCCAAATAACAGCCGACCCCGGCTATTATTTAAAAATCAAGACTTGAGGACTTTTGTTAACTACACAAAATCGAATTACATTACGCTACAGCAAAAAATAGTAACTCAAACTCGCCGGTTGAACGATTTCATTCAACTCTAATCGAACATTTTCGATGTTTACGCAAGACTAATAAAGAACTTCAGATCAATTAATTAAATAATTAGTTTTAACTTATAATAATTATATTCACTGTGTAACTAAATACAGCCCGTTTGAAGTTATAAAGGGACATATTAATAACCCTGACCCTTTCGATCTAAATGATCATCTTGTTCCATTTTATTATGTACAAAAAATAATCAAAACGAACTTTTACAGACACAACAGGGTGCGTATGCTTGAAAACAAGTGAAACTCTCCAGGGAATATATTCACTCTATTTTCACTTTCCCAAAAATTGGTATTCTTGAAATAACGTGAAAGCCAAGGGAGAAGAAAGTGGATTGTGAAAATAAATAAATACATTTTAGATCATCGGACCAATTATAAATTACGAAATTTTGACAGCAAATGACAGATTCGTTTTTTTATTTGTTTTTATCGACAACCGAATTTTGACTTTTTCACGTATAAGCATTTTAAAATGATATTAATGCACGTAGTAAACTGTCGTTTTTAATAATTATCAGGCTATAAATTCAAATCTCTTGTAAATAATTCAAGTTTAAATATCTCGATACTTTAAATGAATTTCCCATAAAAATTAAGGAAACATTTCGGTCGAACGCTTTTCCTGAAAAAACTATGCTTACAAGGGGAGAACTAGCAAAAAAAATCGATTAAATGGTCACATGACATTGTTCTTACAAAAGGGAGAGGGGAAATAAAAAAAATAACGCGAAACTTTTATCTTTTTTTCAGACCTTTATAAAAACTTTAAAATAAATGTATCAATGAGATTGAAATTTTCCAACGGTAAATTTTGGTGGTCGTATAATTTGCGACATGATTCAGTAATGAATTTGTGCTAGCGTTCTGTACATACCTTTCAGGGAGAACCTGTATACAATTTTTCTATTCTATCCTCCGGGATATAGTGCTATTTGCGTACGTCCCATTTGCGTACACGGTCAATTTTGTCACATTTGCGTACACGGGTTAGATATCTCTTGAGTCAGGTAAAAGTATTACGATATATAGTCCTACTTGCGAACATATACTTTACTTAATTTTATTTTTAAAACTTTCCTTCACACTTTTTCCAGGCTTAGGACTGGCACCGATTTGCTGGCGTGTTTAAAAGTTTTTTTAGTTCTTATATTTTTTAGTTTTTTTGTTTTTTAAGAATTTACAAAAAGAATGGTATTTACAGAATATTTACAAAATGCAGAGCCATACAGTCGGTTACTCTAACTTAGCGACGTAAGCTAGAGAAGTTAGGCATTTTTTAACGTATTTTGTTTCTGTATATGCCGCTATTATTTTATTAATTCTAATGTCCAACTTGACGTATTTTGGTTTTCTTCTTTTTTCCTTAAATTCAATTTTTTTCGTTTATAAAGAAAATCACTATTTTCTGCTTCTTCTTTTAAGTGTTTCATCAACTGTAAGACAGGCGGATTGTTTATTTTGACCAGATGATGTTACTTGTTGTTCCATCCCTCCACGACGTTATTTGTACGATAGAGCTTGTTGATGCAGTTCCACATATCTGGCGTAATGATACTATTTTCTAGCCACTGATCCACGAAATAATCGTAGAATTTTGAAGTTTTTCGTTAACTCGTGAATTTCCTTGAATGGTTAGCCAACAGATATCCAAATCTTCAAGTGGAATATACGCCAAAGCCGCACACATACGAATATAGTCGCAGTTCATCATCGTGCCGGTATTCTACAACTAGGCTCAACTGTTGTACTTTTCGCCATATACATTGATTGTAGTGGAAATGACAACCATTTATTGCAACGTTAGGAAACACATTCCTTATAGCTATAATTACTGCTTCCTCAAAGTCTACAGTCACTTATGTTGGTTTTCAGTTTGTGGATCTTTTTATTATCGTAAATAATCTCTCATATGTAGAGCGAGTTTTGTTCTTGAGTAGTGCATAAACTACAGGAATTATGTTTCGCTCGTCTGTATTGCTTCCAATGTCCGCATGTATTGTATAAAGTTGAGTAAACTGTTTACTGCAACACTTAAAAGTGCCGTCCATAAAGAAAGTATTCTGGCTTGATATAATCTCCTTCCCAATCGATGACGAAAATATTAAAATTCTGTCTTCGTAACCATCATCAGCGACCAGGAAGGAAGATCCATCGTTCAAAAGAAAAGGCCTTTCAGGTATTTCGACATCCGATGCACATTTTGGCTCTTTCAACAGTCCGTTTGCCTTTTTTCTGTGTCGATATAAAGTGGTCTTTACTGAAGACAACATTGGAATATCGCAGACAAAGTCAATTACACGATCAAAAAGTGGCCTCATTTCTTCACGGTAAATGTTTGGAATGTCTTAATCAGTTTCTCGTGCTCGCTTTTTGGCATTTTATTTATAAACTTTCACTTCTAGTTGTGCCAAATCAGATACTGACAGAACTTGGGATTTATTTGTTTTTAATGTTCCCCGGCATTTTTCACTTTTTTCTTTGACGCACAACCATGTCACAACCTCTTGTTTGTTTTTTCTATGTTGTCGATACTGTTGCTCCTTAAAAATTGCTGATGGCTTCCCTTTGAAGTTGATCCATTTCGGAAATAAAAACGGTTATAAGACGACTGAATAATATGGCAGCAGTACACTTACTAACGATTTTACTCGAAGTGTTAAGAAGTTCAAAAATCAATTATCAAATAATGAATAATGTTAAATTCCCCTAATGACCTGATATTAACGATTACTTATTAAGAGTATATACAATTATTTTCATTTATTTAAAACGTAAATAACATTTTTGGATTACTTGAAAATAATAGTAATTTTGTTAGTCCTTAGTTCGTAAATAGGCATCAACGAAATCAACTTTTATTTTGCAATATTTTGTGGCCATTAAAAAAGAAAATTATAACATTTTCAAAATGTTCAGTAATATAATAGGCCCCATTTTATGTGTGTACGCAAGTAGGACTATGCATCATAATATTTTTACCTGCCACAAGGCATGACCTCACGGTGTACGCAAGTGGGACAAAATTAACCGTGTACGCAAATGGGACGTACGCAAGTAGGAGGATACCATCCTCCGGACCGCCAAAGTACTTCGGGAAGGAGATAAGGTTTTAAACAAGTTGTTGACTAAAAGAATGAAACCTATACAAAAAATTTCATTGTAGTGACAATAGTGACATCTAGATGGTAGTAGTCAAACTATTATTAGTTAAAGCGGTTTTAAAAGAATTTAAATATAAAATCAGTAGTATAAAAATGGCGTCAGAGTCGAGATGTTTTCGTGTTACACGTAAACAAGGTAAGTGTATCCAAATAAATCTTAGGTACAACTGGTTTGTTTTGGATTTAAAATCATTTCAAAAGACTTGTAATATTATAGATTCAATAACAGAACAAATATTTTTGTAAAATAGTTTATGAATTTTTCTGTAGCGGCAATTTCATTTTTATGTAATTATAAAAGTAACAATATCGTAAACGCCTGGATGGGCAATTTTTAAATGTATTTTTAAAAGTAATAAACTTGTCTATGTTTTCTTGTTTTAGAATTAACGGATGAACAAATTTTGAAATGTTGAAAAGTACCGACACGCAGTTCATCTCTTTCTTCTAATAGTGAAAGTGACCTCTCTGAGCAAAACGTTTCTTGTCCTTCTATATCATCATCATCATCCTTTCTTTCACAATCCAATCAAATCCGTCGTTCCAGAGGTTTTGGAAGAGGAAGAGGCACACGAGGTATATTCTTGGAAAGGTGATTTGAAATAAGGTACGCGTGATACAATTATTAACGATGGATGGAAAGGAATATTTGAGCCACAAAAAATTCTTTTTGTACAACCTGAATATTTGCCAATATTTACTGAACATTGGCGTCTAGAAGATTTTTTAATTCAATATCTGGATAACGATATCCTCTCAGAAATTAGTTAAAGCAGTTTTAAAATAATTTAAATATAAAATCAGTAGTATAAAAAATGGCGTTAGAGTCGAGATGTTTTCGTGTTACACGTAACAAGGTAAGTGTATCCAAATAAATCTTAGGTACAACTGGTTTGTTTTGGATTTAAAATCATTTCAAAAGACTTGTAATATTATAGATTCAATAACAGAACAAATATTTTTGTAAAATAGTTTATGAATTTTTCTGTAGCGGCAATTTCATTTTTATGTAATTATAAAAGTAACAATATCGTAAACGCCTGGATGGGCAATTTTTAAATGTATTTTTAAAAGTAATAAACTTGTCTATGTTTTCTTGTTTTAGAATTAACGGATGAACAAATTTTGAAATGTTGAAAAGTACCGACACGCAGTTCATCTCTTTCTTCTAATAGTGAAAGTGACCTCTCTGAGCAAAACGTTTCTTGTCCTTCTATATCATCATCATCATCCTTTCTTTCACAATCCAATCAAATCCGTCGTTCCAGAGGTTTTGGAAGAGGAAGAGGCACACGAGGTATATTCTTGGAAAGGTGATTTGAAATAAGGTACGCGTGATACAATTATTAACGATGGATGGAAAGGAATATTTGAGCCACAAAAAATTCTTTTTGTACAACCTGAATATTTGCCAATATTTACTGAACATTGGCGTCTAGAAGATTTTTTAATTCAATATCTGGATAACGATATCCTCTCAGAAATTAGTTAAAGCAGTTTTAAAATAATTTAAATATAAAATCAGTAGTATAAAAATGGCGTTAGAGTCGAGATGTTTTCGTGTTACACGTAACAAGGTAAGTGTATCCAAATAAATCTTAGGTACAACTGGTTTGTTTTGGATTTAAAATCATTTCAAAAGACTTGTAATATTATAGATTCAATAACAGAACAAATATTTTTGTAAAATAGTTTATGAATTTTTCTGTAGCGGCAATTTCATTTTTATGTAATTATAAAAGTAACAATATCGTAAACGCCTGGATGGGCAATTTTTAAATGTATTTTTAAAAGTAATAAACTTGTCTATGTTTTCTTGTTTTAGAATTAACGGATGAACAAATTTTGAAATGTTGAAAAGTACCGACACGCAGTTCATCTCTTTCTTCTAATAGTGAAAGTGACCTCTCTGAGCAAAACGTTTCTTGTCCTTCTATATCATCATCATCATCCTTTCTTTCACAATCCAATCAAATCCGTCGTTCCAGAGGTTTTGGAAGAGGAAGAGGCACACGAGGTATATTCTTGGAAAGGTGATTTGAAATAAGGTACGCGTGATACAATTATTAACGATGGATGGAAAGGAATATTTGAGCCACAAAAAATTCTTTTTGTACAACCTGAATATTTGCCAATATTTACTGAACATTGGCGTCTAGAAGATTTTTTAATTCAATATCTGGATAACGATATCCTCTCAGAAATTAGTTAAAGCAGTTTTAAAATAATTTAAATATAAAATCAGTAGTATAAAAATGGCGTTACAGTCGAGATGTTTTCGTGTTACACGTAAACAAGGTAAGTGTATCCAAATAAATCTTAGGTACAACTGGTTTGTTTTGGATTTAAAATAATTTCAAAAGACTTGTAATATTATAAATTCAATAACAGAACAAATATTTTTGTAAAATAGTTTATGAATTTTTCTGTAGCGGCAATTTCATTTTTATGTAATTATAAAAGTAACAATATCGTAAACGCCTGGATAGGCAATTTTTAAATGTATTTTTAAAAGTAATAAACTTGTCTATGTTTTCTTGTTTTAGAATTAACGGATGAACAAATTTTGAAATGTTTAGAAACATGCGACAGTGAGTTTAGTGGTGATGACTTAGATAGCGATCCACTTTATGAAGTACCGAAACGCAGTTCATCTCTTTCTTCTAATAGTGAAAGTGACCTCTCTGAGCAAAACGTTTCTTGTCCTTCTACATCATCATCATCCTTTCTTTCACAATCCAATCAAATCCGTCGTTCCAGAGGTTTTGGAAGAGGAAGAGGCACACGAGGTATATTCGTGGAAAGGTGATTTGAAATAAGGTACGCGTGATACAATTATTAACGATGGATGGAAAGGAATATTTGACCCACAAAAAATTCTTTTTGTACAACCTGAATATTTGCCAATATTTACTGAACATTGGCGTCTAGAAGATTTTTTAATTCAATATCTGGATAACGATATCCTCTCAGAAATTGTTGCGTGCACGAATAGAACTTCAGTTCTAAAAACAGAAAAATCCTCAGCTTTCACACTAAAATAACTTAAAGTGTTCTTATGTATTACTATGGTCATGGCTTGTTTACAATACCCTCAATTCGATATATATTGGTGTGAAAAATTTAAGGTACCTCTTATATCACAGGCGATGGCTCTGCCTCGTTTTTATCAAATAAGTACCTCTTTGAAAGTGGTATATGATCCAGAAATCTCTGATGAAGGAAGAAAAGCTGACAAAATTTGGAAAATAAGGCTATTATTTGAAAGAGTCAGAAAAGTTGCCTTGGCCAGGAGCGTTCAAAATATTTATCAATGGATGAAATGATAGCTCCATTTAGTGGAAGATGTGACAAGACAATATATTCCAAACAAGCCCAATCCTGTCGGGTTAAAAATATTCGTCTTGGCCTTTCCTGGGGGAATTATAATAGATATAATTATTTACGAAGGCGAAACAACTCTCCCTGAGTTAAGACAAGCAGGATTTGGTCTTGGTGAAGCTGCCGTATTGCAACTGACTTCTTCCTTAGTTCCAGATCATCACATCTATTTTGACAGATATTTCAGCACAATTAAACTTTGTGATGAATTGATAAAGCGAGGATTTCATGGAACTGGGACAATTATGAGAAATAGGGTTACACAGAATTGTGTGATTGAAAATAAAAACGAATTTTTACATAAACCAAGAGGCACGATTTGAAAAGAAAATGCGGGATGATGGAAAGATAGCAATAACACGTAGGATGGATATAAAACCTATTATTATCATATCGAGTGAATTATCTGATGCTTAAACGGATGAATGTGACAGATGGTCAAAAAAAATATATATAAAAAGGTGAAAAGGCCAGAAGTAATAAAAATTTATAACGCAAACATGGGAGGGGTGGATTTATGTGATAGGATGCTTGCAGTATGCCCAGCTCGTAATAGAACTAAGAAATGGACAGTGCGAATGAGTTTTCATTTAATAGACATGTCCGTAGTCAACTCATATCTACAATATAAGCAAAAGAAAATATTACAGCTGCGTAAATACAAACTTGAGGTCGGAACAAGACTTATATGAAAATGATTTCTCATCAGATATGGCGAGAGTGAAGATGATTATGAAGAACTCTTACAGAGACACAAAAAACGAAAGACATTCATCAGAAACAAAATGTAAGCAAAAGGCTAATTATTTACCAGAGTATAGCCAAAGTCAAAAAAGATGTCGTCAAAGTGGATGTATTATGAAGACCAAAGTCTATTGCCTCCAATGCAATATTTATTTATGTTTTGTGCCTGATAGAAATTGTTTCTCTAATTTTCATCGTCATTGATTATTTTCAAATATGTATTTCAAATATTTTGTGCATTTTTTTATAACAATTTATAACATTTAGTTTAGTTTTTAGACCAGAACGTAAATTTTATTTGATTTTAGGTCTTAATTTTTTATTCAATAATAAATTTGAAGCACTACATATATTTTAACTTACTGTATTTTTTTTAAATTAGTTTCTCATAAAAATATTTTTTTCTTAATAAAATTGTTTATATTTCTCTTATTTATTGTATCTACACTAAGTACGAAATTACTATTAAAAGGACAATATTTAGAAACTTTGCATTTACTGCAAAAGTACTATTGAAGGGACATAGAGAAAATCTAGTCTCCTGGTGATGGAATTATTTTCTATATTTTTCTATTTTTATACACGCGGTCTAGAACTCTAATTTAAACTATAATGGCATTTAAAAAAAATGCGTTCTGTAGGCAGGAGGCTATTGGGAATATAGTTATTTTTTTAAATAAGCCTTAATAATATCGAAAATTATTTTAATTGTATTTAATAATTTCTTATAAAATGGATTAACTTCAGCAAAAAATATTTCATTTTTTTGAATGGTAAATAAATTTCATAATCACGCCAATTAACATACATTTCATTATTTTATCGTTTATAAATTTATGATTACACTTATAAAATAATTGGAAAGGGCTTAAGTTTCTTTTAAAATTTGATTTAAATTCCTATTTTACTAAAATAGGTATAGTACAAATAATGATAATTACCACATGCATTTTCAGTATGGATAGATTAGTTAATTATAACCTTTTGAGCAATTTTCCTTTAATTATTAGGATTGCTTCTACGTTTTTACTATTATATTTTAATGAGCATATAAAAATAGTTATTACAGAAAATGTCATTGACTTGATTATTTAAATACCTATTCATAATTTATGCTATTATCATTAAAAAAAAACATGTAGTAAACAACATTACTATTTCGCCTATACTTATAATAATTGTATTTGGCATTGCAAAAGTCGTAAAACTTGTAATTTTTTTTCTTTCAATCTAAAGATGGAAATAATTTTTCATTAGTGTTTAAAAGAGTAGTAGTTAGTAAAATAAATTCAAATAATAATATAATTTCTGATTTATTTCTGAAATGAAGAGTAAACACTTGTCAGCCGCTACGTTATCTGCGTCGATTCTACGTATTCATTTCATAACATTATTGTGCATTCTCGAGTAACCTTAAAAACAGTGATAGTAGTGATGAAAGTAATCGTTTGAACAGAAGAAAGAGACGTTTAATGAGAAAATTAGAATGTATAATGTTCCAAACAAACGTTGAAAACATTCAAATTTTTGAATGATACTGATACCGACAGTGTATACACTCATAGCTAAAAATGTTAAAGCTAAACTTAAACTATTGTCTAATAGTTTTAAGAGACAAAACTATTGTCTTATAGAATAAATAGCAAAAATTGTTAAAGCCAGTATATATTTAATATTATAAAATAGTAATTAATATTTTTCTGTTCTATTCAAAGTGTTCCACAAAACCTTTGAAAACATTCCAGTTTTTTAAGTGACACTGATACCGATAGTGAGACAGTCATACCTAAAACTGTTAAAGCTAAAATTAAACTGTTACCAAATAGTTTTAAGAGACAAAACTGTTAAGTCTCATAAAATGAATAGCTAAAATTGTTAAAGCTAGTTTATATTTAATACTAACATAGACTAATATTTCCCTTTCTACTTTTCCAAGTTATTGATCTCAAGTAATGCATGATTCACTGAGTTGAGGTTTATAATGAAATGCAAAATATGATATTGTTATACCGGCCCATGTGCCACAAGACGCTGTAATATCTCAATAGGACAATTTGCCACAGTAGTATTTGTTGGTTTTTGGGAAGAATCTGCCGAAAAATTTCTCTTATAGCACCATACTGAAAAAAAAAACAACTAAAGATATCTGGATGTGGTCTGAAAAACAAAATTTTTATTTATATGTATATATATATATATATATATATATATATATATATATATATATATATATATATATATATATATATATATATATATATATATATCTTCTAGAGAAAATTGGCAAGCACATTAAAATCTAGATCTTTATTGACTCAATATAATTGTTTCTTGTTTTGGTATCTGACAATAATTAATTAGTTATACCTAGACATAAATTAGTTATGGTAAATAAAGGACCCCTAATTACAGCAATAAAGCTTTACAATAAACTTCCGGATAACATAAAATGCATAAATGATGTTAAAGCTTTCAAAACCCGAGTAACAGAGGTCTTACTAGCTCACACTTTGTTTTAAATGAATTGTTTGTAACGAATTATATATAAGTTTGTTTTTACTCTCACATTTTTGTCTTGTTTGTAAATTTTATGTGACGTTTTCTATACCTATGTATACAGGTCTACAGAAATAATAGTTATTTATGGTACTAGTGGGTTATGTTAAAAATAAGTCACGCGAGAAAGATTTATATATGGTATAAATTCTCAAGTGACTTAGGAAATAACAAACGAGTGGCATACAATGTTTTATTCAACAAACAAGTGGAAGAAATCGTTTTTTTATGAGATAATGATTAATTAGTTTTCTGATCAAATCAAAACTACTTACGTCTCAGTACCCTATAAATGTCAGAATGACTTTACAGTAAATTTTTTACATTTTGGTCAAAAGAAATCGAGAAGTTTCACCATACTTGAAGAAAGATTTCCAATTAACCCGATCAATTTGTGTAAAAAATACATGTCTTTGAGACCAAAGAATACTAGTTGTTTTTTACAAAAAAGGGAGGTGTACCAGCCAATGTGTGGGAATAAATACGTTGCGAAGATACCTTTAAGAATTGCAATGTTTTTGAAATTGAAGGAACCAGCGCTCTACATCGGTCACTGCATGAGAAGGTATTTGACGACTCTTTTGGCCAATGACTACTTTGAAGCATCACGGAGGATGGAAGTCCTCGATGGTAGCAGAAGGATACCTAGAAGAATCGGTGCGTAACAAAATACAAATTGCAGAAAAAATACAAGGTTCTAATTTGTCGGCATCTTTCAGCACTATCAGCAGCTGTTCCGATATGGGAGCGTCTGGTTCCAATGAACCAACGAATTTTGCAATGACTTCGAATAAACCGTTAGCGTTTTCCTTTAATTTCAATATCAATGTGAATTCTGCTTGTAATAGTATTAAATAAATAGTATATATACTACTTTAAATATAAACGTTAAAATTCCATAACTCACTAGTGAGTTATATGTTATAGATTATAACACACTAGTGTGTTATTTGATAGTTTGCTTGTCTAAAATGACTACAATAATGACAGTCATAACTGTCATGTGTTGGATAAATAAAATTATTATTATCTATCATTAACAGTAAAATCTGTAATTTTTCGCATAAAGATCCAGTTTTTCTAGCTTTACATTAAAATGAAATGGTTT